GCCTCTTCAGTGACGCAGCTCCCCCCTCACCTGCACCCCCCGCCCTGCGCCACCGCGGTGTGCGGGCGCGGCGGTGCCTGGAACAAATCTCGCACGGGAAATGATTTTTTCCGTCTGTTCTCCCCTCTTAGGCCTCCAGCCTGTTGCGGGCAGAGGCGGCCCGAACGTTTCTTCTGGGACCTTGTCACCATCTCGGTGCTTTGTCTCTCCCAGCAGCCCCGCCTGTGCCTCGGACTTCTGGGACACTGGAGTGCTGGAAGCACCTGTAAATGTTTCTCCCTCACATCCTCGCTACCGCACCGCGCCGCGCCCCCAGCCCTTCAAAGATGACCCACAAATATGGGGGTATCAACACTCTAGTCCTCTGAGCCCCAGTTGCCCTCCCTGAGGCTTTGCTTGGTCTCCTTCCATTCCCCCCCGCCAACCTTTTTTAAAAAAATATATCCCTTATCCTTGAATCTTTGTCTCAGGATCTACTTCTGGGCAACCCAGCCTAAGACGCAAAGTATGGTTTACTACAAAGCACCTAAGCTACTTAGGACTGCGCGTGTGCTGTCTGGGCGCTCTTGTCAAATGCTCTCCAGATTAACCTCTCGCCTAATTAGCACACTAACCCTATCCTTATGGCCGTTTCGGATCCAGAGAGGTAGTGACACGCATACAAGGAGACACAAATGGCAAGGCTGGGATTTCAACTCCCGTCTAGCCTATGCCAATGTCTCTGATTTTAACCACTATAGTTTCCCACCCCTTTATTCATCGGTGTAACCCTGGCACTGAATACAGTGCCTTAATAGGTTATATTAGGGTTCTCCAGAGATACAGAACCAATAGAACATATATGGAGGTTTATTATAGGAATTGGCCCTTGAGATTGTGGAGGCTGAGAATTCCCACAGTCTGCTATCTACAAGCTGGACACCCAGGACATGAGTAATGTCATGTGTCCATACTCAAGGACAGGCCTGTGGAGTAATTCCAAAGGCCCGAGAACCAGGGGAGCAGATGGTGTAGGTCCCAGTCCTGGTCAAAAGGCCTGAGAACCAGGAGTGCCGATGATGTATGAGGCCAGGAGAACATGCATGAACCAGCTCAAACAGAGCAAATTCACCCTCTTCCTGTTTGTTCAATTCAGCCCTCACAGGTTGGATGATGCCCACCCACACTGGTGACAGCAAGCTTCTTCCCTCAGTTCACCATTCAAATGCTAATCTCTTCCAAGAAACAACCTCACAGATGCACCCAGAAACAATGCTTTACCAGCTATTTGGGCATCCCTTAGCAAAGTCGAGTTGACACATAAAATTAACCATTGCATACATGTTTTATAAATGGCTGAATTCACTAGTAAATGGCAAGTTTGTGGGGAGCCTGGGTGGCTCAGTCGGTTAAGCGTCTGCCTTCGGCTCAGGTCATAATCCTGGGGTCCTGGGATGTAGCCCTGCATGGGGCTCCTTGCTCAGTGGGGGGAGTCTGCTTCTCCCTCTCCCTCACCCCCCACCCCCAGCTCATGTGTGCTCGCTCGTTCTCTCTCTTTCTCTCTCTCACTCTCCTTCTCAAATAAATAAATAAAATCTTAAAAAAAAAATAAATGGCAAGTTTGGGCAACAGAGAGTAGACTGCAATGGTTAGAGTGAAGGGCTTATAACCTGGAAAAGTGGGGGATATTGTTGGACAAGTGAGTTGGGGGGAAATTAAGGAAGCCAGGCTTGGGAGCTTATATCAAAAGTCTTTCTCCTCTGATAGAATTGTGCCCCGGGGTGGGGAGGCTCACACACATGCCTGGATGTGCTGTGGCAGGGAGGTATGGGAGGGAAGGGAAGAAATCTGGACCCCTCAAACTGACCTGTAGCAACCCCCCAAGCCAGTGAGATGAAGTTCATTGGGAAAACAAAGAGAAAAGAATACTTAAAGGAGAGAAAAAGTGAGGGAAAGGAACTGCGTTCTTGGTGTGGCCCAGGCAAGTAGTTCTAGGGCTCTTTACATCATGCTGTCTTATTTAATTTGCACAACATTATTGTGGTTTTCATGTGTTCCTCCTCTTGTAAAGTATGAGGTTCTTGAGGGCAGAAACTGTATCTTGGCTGTGTTTTATGCCTTACTTCTCCTCCT